AATAAAGATTTTAATGCTTTTATTATGTGTTGGGTTTGGGTTTTTTTCACTATTTCAATAGCAGACTGTGTTTTCAGAATAAATGTTCCAGTTTTCAATCAGAGTGTGATTGCACATTTGGGTAAAAAAGATGCATGCAACAAATCATAGAAGATTTTTGAGAGAGTTGCCATGCAAGCTGAAAATGTCCTTCAAAGTCCTTCAGGAAGTTCTTTTTTATTTTCTAAAGGAAAATGTTAATGCATTATTTTCTCAAGAGAGATATTATTCAATCAATTTAGTAAATCTTATGCACTTGCAACAAACTTGTATAGAAAAAAGATATACACGTTCCTGTACACGTTCCCAAATCCGGTATATTATTCCCTGAAAGAGAGAAGTGCACAATGTTGAGTGGATTAGATTCCCCCTGAAACACGTAACGAGCAGCACTTGCAGCTCACCACAGAGATCCTTAGCTGTAACCTATTAACATTCATGAGAACTTGAGTCTGAAAGACTCATGCACAAACCGACGGTGCATCAGGGTACTCTTATCTCATTTTTTCAGACTTGTAAAATGTATTTCATCTGATTTCAATTTTTCAAGATATATTACAATGAAGAATAGGTGTGTGACTGTGACTGTAACAAGGTAAAGGTTTGCAGTTCCTCATTTTCACATATTCTAGTACCATTATTGCTAGCATGAAGATATGAAGATCCTGAATTAAAACAAATACAGATGAGACATTTTATAGTTTATACAAGAATCACTCATTAACTTCAAAGAACATCAGGACAAATAGTATGAAGCTATAAATCTATTGAAGTAAAAGGCAGACTTTCAATGAATTAATATGTTTTAAATGTTGATCCCTATACTGCCACGTCTTATGTAAGAAATATGATTAATTCCCTCCTCTTTCACTTCCCAACTATCTCTTTGGCAAATCTCAATATCCACCCATAGCACTCCACAGAATAGATATTTTTCTGTATAGATATTAAAAATATTTGCTATTCAGAAATGCCCCCAATAAAGGTTTTTTTGGTTTGGGGGTTTGGTTTTTTTTTTTTTTAAGTCCTGAATTTGGGCACAAAACTTTTGAAATTCTCTTGGCATCAGATGAAGCATTTTTGTCGCAAACAGTGAGCAGAGATCAACAGTTCAGCTGGCTTGTACTACAGATCAACCATCTAGCGATTACCTTTGTCTAGTAGTAACTTGGCATTAAAAGCCACCAGCACCTTGGGATATGCTGCGCGCTTCATCCTACACCGAACCCGCCTAACCTACTGAGCAAATCAGTACTTTCAGGGGCTTTTTCACTTCAAAACCTGAACCATATCGGTCTTTTTTCCCATTGGCTAATGAGTATACTTTCTAATAAAACATAATAAATTATTTTAGAAGACTGGCACACGTGTAGTATCAAATCTCACAGACGACCTCGTTAAAAATACTCTAAGCAAAGCCATCATGGTAAGAATGTGTCACAGAAGCTACAAGCCAGTCCTCAAGTCAGTACTCT